CTTTTAACCTACGAAACAAACAAGAAAAAAAAGAGAAACTATTTTGATGATGCTGTTATCTGATTAATTGGTGTTGTTCGTTGTTGTACAATCTTCTGTACTAAACTTTGACTTGCCATATATAACAATTGAAAACGTTTAGCCATGGGTGTTGTTGAATTTGTTTGAATATATGCATATAATTTTTTATTTAAATCAATTAATACATTATATAAATAATCTCGTACACTTGGATGTGATAAATCAAGACAAATCAAAGCTTCATGTAGATAACTAAAATAAAATAAACCCTTTCAACCTCATCTTTCGAGATTCTGTTAATTTACTTGTATTTAAGTTCTTGATGTGTAGTTAAATCAGCTGCAAGTTGTTGAATTAATGAAAGAATAACTGGTATTTGTAATAGACATGGCTGAATTGAGAATAATTCAGCTGGACGAACATTTTCACATAAGTAGAGAACAAGATTGAGATCAGCTGCTGATAAAACATATTCAAATGCTTGATTTAATTGACCTGAACGAGCAAGTTTTAATACAGTTTGTTGTTTTGTATCTATTGTTGAAGGTGTAGGTGATGCAACAGCAGCAGCAGCAGCAGCAACAGGTAATGGAGTTGTTGTTCGACTAATTGTTGCTGTTGTTGGAAGTTTAGGTGTCATTGTTTGTTGTTGTCGAAGATGTTGAATAATTAATGCGTTAATTTCATTCTTTTGTGCAACTAATAATTCACGTAATACAACTGAAACTTCATCACGAATAATTGTTTGAATTGTTTCTCGAACCCTAAAATATAAAAATAAAGAAATGTCTGTTTTTTTTAAATTTATATATTACATAGGTGTAAGATTTGCTGTTAGATATTGTGTAATTTCATTTTTAAGTGTACTGGTTAAGTCTTGATTCTTTTTTTCAAATTCTCTTAATAATTGTGTAGATTCTTTACGAATATCTGTCATCATTTGTTCACGTTGTTGAATTAATGAACGTTGTTGCTGACGACCATATTCAATCATTTCTTGTAAATCTAAATTATCAAAAAAAATAAAGATTTTTTTGTTTTTGATAAAACTCTCTATGTACATACATTCTTTTGTACCACGTTTAAAAACATCATTTGTTTGTTGAAACATATTTGTTGCAGCTTTTTCAAATGATGGAATAACTATTTGATTAAATGTATCACGATAAGATGAAATCATTGTTGCTTGAATGGCATTTGCAACCGAATTACTTAATGAATCAATCATTGTCTATGAATTAATTAAAGGAAGTTTTTTAGAATCACAAAAAAGTTAACTTTTTTAAAATTAAAACCTTCGAACGAAATATCTGTGATATTGTTTGTTTAATAACTGTATCAGTCGCTAATAATTTCGCAGTTAAATCTTTATGTAAATTATCTTTTAAATCTCGATATGGTTCAAAAACAGATTTCATTGCTAGAACAGAAAATCAATTAAAGAAAATAATCGTTCGTTGTTGTTTTTTCATACCTCCTTGTACATATGTTTCAATTTTTTCTATAAGCATTGCTTCTAATCGATCATAATGCGCATCGGTGAGAATTACTTGTGGTTCATTTGGTGTTAGAATATCAATTGGTGCTGTGTTAGGACTTGGTCGACTTGGTCGAGAAATAACACCTAGAAATATAAGATCTATGGAAGTAAAGTATAAAGATTTGTATATACCAGTTTGTTCGAAACTAATTAATCTATCAACTTTCGAAGTTAATTGTTCAAGACGTTGACAACATCGTTCAAGTTTTTCATCATAATCTGCTTGACATGTTGTTTGTGGAAGAGGTTCAGATGATAGATTTGTTACATGTGAACGATATTCATTTAATTGATGAGTTAATTCACGAATAGCATGTAATGCCTAATAATAATCAATTCAATCAATATTCTCTTATTTTATATTATACTAACATCAACATTTAAAGGTATTTGAGAAGTATTTGGTGATCGTCCAGTACGTCGTTTTATACGTGAATGTAATAAATCTTCTTCATCAGCTGTTGAATCATCATCTTTATCACTTTTATAATAAAACACAAATTTTTTTTTTCAACACAATTCGATTTATGACCAGAAATATTTTACCTTGTTTCTGTTGGATCACTGAAATCATCAACTACTTGACGACTTGATGTTTTCAATCCTCTGAAGAATAAAAAATATCAATAAATTTTATACAAATAATTAAATTTACTTCATTGGACTATCACCAGTGGAATGACATGATTTTGACCATAATGAATTATCACCATATGTCGATGGTAATAAAAGTGGATCTTGATTATCATTCATCTAATAAACAAAAGGATAAGATTTTTGTTTGTTTCTTTTCATTCAATCATACTTGTTCATCATCATCATTTGATTTAATTGGCATAAAAACTGTATCGCCATCTTCATTATCATCTTCATCATTCGGTACTAATAATAAATTATCATCGGATAAAATAACATTCTCGAATAATGAATAAATTATACATACTTGCTTCAAATTGAAGTGGATAATTTGTTGTACATGACATACTTTCTGCGACTTCTTTATCATCTTGATCAAATGGTGATTGTGAAATATCTAAGGATTATTTATTTATCTTTTTTTTTGACATATTTTTATAAGTTAAAGCTTTAATAGAAAGTTTAGCAAACATTAACTACAAATATTCCAGGTAAGAAAGAACAGGAAAGAAAAAAAATGTTTTTTTTTTTACTGCATGTCGACGACTTCTACCATCGAACATATTTATATACTATGGGTAGATGTTGTAATTTGTAAAAAAAAGAAAACGACATGATTTTTCTTTTCCTCTTCCCATTCAAATTTACTTCAGGTACGTATTGATATAGAATGAAACTGAGATGCTGTTTTGTTAGTTAAATTTCGAATACTTACCATTAATAAGTAATGATGAAGAATCATTTTCGATGTTTCCTTTTGTCTAAAATAGGTCATATATATGAGTGTTAAGATCAAACAATTGAGATAATAGTTACCTGTTGTTGTGAAGGTGAGATATGTGCGCAAAGTTCTTGTTGTTGAGTAGTTATAGCATCAAATGCGGTTGTATTACCAAGTAATAGACCATGTAAAGGATCAATTGTTGGTAATGTATTATTTACACT